TAATATCCTTATTTGTTTCTCGGCAAGATATTTGAGCCACAGGTTAAAAAGGTGACGGCAGCAGCACATTTGTTGCAAACAGGAAAAACTACAGAGTAGAAAGTAAGAAGAAAAAAAATGTCACTTTTGTAAATTGTTGTTTACTAAAGCTTTAGGAGTTTATAAGAAATAAGGAGAGAGAGAGAAGAAAAAAAACTGCTGTTATCAAACTATATAATCTTTTCATCAGTGCTGGCAGTAATGCACTGATGATCATGAGAGAGACAGAAGAGAGAGGTGGTTTGCATATAATAAACATTAAATTTCTTGATTTAAAGAATTGAATTACCTACTTCTCAAGCAAGACAAACTTATTCCGAGTTTTAAAGTGGTTGATTTTTAAGTTTTAACAAATTAACAATCAGATGAAAGAGATGTCTTATCTATCCACAATGTCTAGGGTCAGTTAAAAAAAAAAAGAAGCAAGCTCCAAGGTGAGTTTGTCAAAATGAGGAGAAAAGTTTGACAAAAGGGCACAAAAGGGAATAAAGCCCCACCTACATTGTTTTTTTGTTTTTGTCATCAGTGTCATGTGGTACATACAAGACAAGAGTGCAGCACTTTGATGTGCTCAGCTTCAACTAGGAAAAGGTATAAACTCCCAGGTTTTTTTTTTCTTTTTTGGCGGGAAAGTATAGAAAAAAGAAAAGTGCACAAGTGAATAGATTTACAAGTTAGAGATAAGAGCAAAACAAATGCTCCAACTGCTTTTCCACAGCACTCACTGCTGCTGCTGCTCCTGCTACACATGCTGTTGTAGTAGGAGTAAAAACAGAGCAGACAAGACACCAACACCATGTTCATGCCAGTATACAGATTCTATGGTATACCAAGATGCATCAGCAGCAAGAGTCAATAGGGACAATTAAATGGTTAGACAGGACAGATCTGAATATAAGAGTCCCAGATTAAAGTAGAGGTTAGTTTAATCACTATGCATAATACATAAATCATTTCACTTGATTTTTAAAATAAATTTTAGCAAATATACAGACTGACATTTCAATTTCAGTCAATTTGTTATTTGCAATGGTATCGTAATATTTGTGAGAAATAAAATGTAGTAGAAAGTTTAAAGTACTGAGATTATTTAAAATGCTAGTCAAAATGCCTGTTTACCAGCATTTACTGATGTAAATACATGGATATTAGAATAAGAAATTAAACAAATAAACTTTTTGGATATTCAATATTTAAACTGAAGCTCTGTTTAAAAATACATTTGTGCTTCACAAATTATTAACTAAAGATATTTTGCTCATCAACTCTTGATATCACTTTTTCTTATTATATATTCACAAAAATGAAAGAGTGCATTTATCATCAATGTACATGTGTATGTGGTGTGTCTGTGTATATATATATATATATATAGCAAATTCCGGCACAATATCATAAAGCTGTCCAAAAGAGAATGGGAGATAATACAAGTATCAACACAATTTTAAAATAATCATACAAAATTTTTTTTAGCTGCATTTTCAAGAGTTATAATTAAATAACTGGATAACAAAATAATGTCATAAAAGTGCTTATTTTATCTTATGAATGAAAACAAAATACTGAACATAAAGCAGTATCAAGAAAAATGAGAATGTGAAATTTTAAAGCTTTGTAATATATGGAAGCCAAAAAGTCCTTTCATGAACCACTCAACTCATTGGATAATCCCCCACCAAAAAAGATTGGTTGTTTTATTTGCTGTTTGTTTATTTTTGTTGTTAAATCATAAATTATCTCTAAACATAAAATTAATTACTGATATAATAGACTTGAAATTTCTAATGACATCTTTATTAAATATTTCAGTTGTTGCATACTTATAGTTACACTTAGAATCCATGCTAGTTCCAAGCTGGAGATGATGAGAAGCAGATTTATAAAATCTTGTATTACAAAATATAAAATTTCTGACACTATATATACATAAATTTAACATCTCATAAAGTAAATTGTATTTGAAAGGGAAGGGTTCATCATATAATCATTTTTTGAGGGCACTTTGACAGGGTGCAATGGTTAGCAAGTTTGTTTTGCTAGAATTAATTTGCTCCATACTTGCGGCCTTGTGCCAGATCTAAGATCTCCTTAATAAATTAATATGATTATTTTGAGAAGCAGATAAAAACAGAAAGAAGAGGGTGATCAAAATTATACACAAGTCTATTTGAAAAGTGCATTAGAGTTAATTTAAGAAAAAAATAACAAGTGATGATGAGGTCATTTACTAACAAAAACTCTTTCTTTAAACTGTTGACATAACTGACCCCATGTGAAAATTTAATTTCCCTGGAAAAAAGAAAGATAACTTTTTAATGTTAAATGTATTGTGAATTTTTAGTGTATATGCTGTTAAAAGTTACCATACTTTTACTTATAATAATGGCAATTGCCTTTACAGTTATGAAAGAAAATTATAACTAACCTAAAAACTATATTGCTTCAAAGTGCATTGTAGAAAAGATGAAGCTGATAATTGTAAATTCAAAAACCATACCTGATTTGTGAAGATGTATTCTAGTCACCAGTTTTTATACTAGGATTTTAAATTGTACTATAGCCTTTCACAAAATTAAAATTAATTACTACTTTTATACCCTTGAACAACCACAGAAAAACAAATAAAATATTTTACACTTCTTACTGATATATTTCCTATTAAAAATAAAATAACATTGTCTCTATAAAGAAATCTAGTCACTGTCATAATAAAAATTCAATATCGATTGATTATAATTAGTATAAACATTATACTACTACAACTGATTTTAATTTCATAAGGGTTATTAGCTGAGATATCTGATTCACTTGGCATCAGTGTAAAAACTCAATGCCTCATAATGCTCAAAAAAAAAAAAAAAAGAAAAGAAAAAAGTACTATTTTTCAAATAGTGCATTTTTTCTTTTTACAGAATATCACATCTATTAGTTTCAATAAACTGCAGATACTGCATAGTTATACTTGAATAGCATTACTGAAAATGTAAAGTTATCAGTTTGCTTGCAAGAAACTCAATGTATATTAGCTATTTTTCAATTCCTAAATTTTACATTCATATCAATGCTGCAGATGAATCAAATGCAAGCATACAATGACCAGATTTCAAGTTAAAAATGCATGACAAAGAAAATTAGGAATTATTAAATTTACAGTAAAAATTATTTTTTCTTTTTCTTTTTACTTAAAAAATTACAACAATTTAAATGTTATTTCAAATCAAAAAGTGAAACTACATTTTCAGTACATTTTATTGAGTGGCTAGGATTATGGCAATCTGAAACCGTCTTGTGATCATAAGCTATTTCTTTTAATTGATGTATCATACTATATATTTTGCACTTTACTGCCAATAAATGCAAATATATTCTAAATTATAGATAATATGCCAAAGTTTTTAATCATTAAATCTATAGATATGTATATGCAGATAATTACAAATATTAAGTAATTTGTTTCATGGAATATCAAATTATCTTGCGAACAGAAATAATACAGGTTTTTTTTTATTGCTATTTTGGAATTACTGTATATCTAGCAAAATTATCAAGTCTTGCTACAGGCAGAACTATAAATTATTTTTTTTTTATTTATACTTTGTCAGTAAACATTTGCAATGTTTACTTGTACAAAACTTTCTTAAATGCCCAACAAATAAAATCAAGCCTTTCATTGCAAGAGATATTATTCTCAAAGCATCCATTGTTACAAATAAGTCATACAAATTAAATCCACTCATAAGTTCAGCTTTTTGATAAAGCTTTTTGATATTTAAGTCAAAGGAAGAAAGTATTGAAGCATTTTAAATTTTAGATTTTTTTGTTTATTAATGTGTGATAAACTCTTATCAGCTCAACTGTCTAGAGCAAAATTAAACCAAGAAAAATGTTTAGTCTCTCAGTAAGAAACATGCAAGTACACATTAACATTAAATCGAGATTTGTCATTTTTTAATATTTAATTTTTTTTTTATGTTACTAACAAACGCGTATACAGCTTTTATTAATGCAACTTCATATTCATGTCCTAACCATTCCAAGTCTAAGGGGAAGCAACTACTATATTCTAATCAATGAGACATGAATCAGCCTTGATAAAGAAAAGTAATCTTAAGAAAATAATTCAAAACACTATTTTAAACACTTTCTATTTTACCAAAAATTTGTTTTGTGGAAAACTTTTGAGAGATGAGGTGCAATTTAAATTTCAGTCAACTAATATCTTTATGAAAATCGCTCTTGTAATATATAAGTGTTTTTGTTAAATGCTGAAAGTTTTGTCTACAAGAATTCATTTTTTTTTTCAAATTTATCCAACATTCTCATTAAAGAAAATACATTTTTTGTTTTTTTTACCCACCCCCATGTATAAGAAACTTTAAAACTGTACTAGCCATATCAAAATTTACATCAACAATATATCAACAAAACCCTTTTTTCAAAAACAGTCAATTCTTTGTTTAATTCACATCTTTCAAACATGATTTGACAAAGAAATTATGCAGGTATGAATTGTGTAAAATTTATAATTTAAATAAATTCATTTGCTTCTTTTGAATGCAAAGATATATTTTAATGTGTCAAGTTAAATATATGAAATTGTAAAAGTAAATTTCATAAAATATCATAAGTGTTGCAATAAAATTGTTTCTTTGTTTAAAAAAAGAAAATATACTTCATAGCTTTACCCAGTCTTAATTAAAATTTGCCTGGATTGAAGGGTAAAGTATAAACAAAGTACATGCTAAAGATTAACTTGACTTGTCCATCTTAAAAGCTATTAGCCTCATGCAATGTTATTCTTTCAAATAATATATTGACATGTTTTTACAAAAGATAAAAAACATAAAGCAAACAATAAAAATAAATTTCTACAATTCTTTCAGCCCCACCAGTTTTTTTCTCTGCACGTAATAAAAAGATCCAACAAATGGCATGGTCAAGATGAAGGTTTGCTTACTTACCCACTAGTTTTGGATTTGCCAACATTGAAGACAATAAGAGAGTCAGCAGTGGACTCAGCTGAGACACGGTCTGTTTTTCCTGTAAGGATGGACATTATGTGGTGACTACCATCTTCTTCTTGTTTCACTTCTTCATGTTTCACGAGCATTTGGCTTACTTGTGTCCGGGTGCTGCCCTCAACCCGGTTGGTTGTAATCACATAAGGTTCCCTCTCCAATTTAACTTTCTTTTGCTGTTGTTGTTGTTGTTGTTGTCGTGGGGGTGGTGGAGGAGGAGGAGGAGGAGGAGGTGGTGGTGGTGGTGGATTTGTTTGGGGTGGGGTGGGGGCTGTGCTTGTTGCTGTTCATGGTGTCTGAGGTAGTTTTCTGAAGCTGAGGATAAATGTTCAAAAGTGGAATCAACACGAGAAGACGATTTTGAAATAAAATTTTTAGTCGGATCAACAATTGCACCATTGAACTGAGTGTCTTTACATTTGAGAGTGAGGTCAAACGGTTGTTCCTGCAGATATCTGGCGGCCAGTTGACGCTGGACACTTTGGCAGCCGGCCGACGGCTCTTCGGTCAAGCGAGGTGGCTTTGGTGTTTGACTGATATACGATGAAAGATAGACCTTGCGGCCTCCTTGTAAAATCCCTGCACTGCTCTTATTAGAAATGTTGGCGTCCCGTTGCGATGAGACAATGTCTGTACAAGTCAGAGTCTTTGTGGAGTTGCCTCCTGTATTGGTCACTGGTACCTCAGCCACATCTATAGATGTGGTCGAGGTTGCCGCTTGATCAGGAGGGTCATCAATGCTGTAGCTGCTGATTGTGCCACAACCGCCTGATCCAGACGGCTGGTCAGCAGTGGATGTCTCTGAGGTAGACTTTGGTGATTTTGCATGGGCAAAAAGTCGACGCAAGATTTGGTACTTGGAAACTGATGACTGATGAATCGAGTACTCCTGTAGGGAGGATGGCATTGGCCGCCCTGCCTGAATTTGATCACTTGATGACTGTCCGCTACTGGGCATAGTTGCGGATGTGCCACTACCACTTCCCCCGAGGTCACTGCGACCAGTCGGGTCTGTCTCACTGGCGAAGGCCGTGGACGCCAAACTGTAGTCAGTCGTGTCGGAAGAGCTCCCTGCCTGTGGCACTGTTCCATCATCGCAGAATCTTTTGCTGCTGCGTCTGGCAAACCGTTCTAATTCACTACTGCTATCGGCACCAAACGCTTCCCGAGACTCATCATTGTCAAGAGTTTCCCGTTTTCCTGAGGTAAGTTTTTGTTGTATAGGGGAGGACTCTGCCTGAAATCGCTTCAGTTCCTCTTCAGTGAGAAACTGTTCAGCTGTGGTCGGACCAGTTTTTGGTTTCTTTGGAGGGGGCATCATGAGCCATGTATACAGCTGGCCAAGTCAGCTTTGCTCTATATCAGGCTTCATAGCACCTGTAACAAAAAAAAAAAAAGAAAAAGAAAAAAAAAGCAAACCATCTATAAATATTTCCATAAACAGAATTGGATTCATTCATGCAACATATGAGCAACAAAAATGAATACAATTTAGGGCACAATAATAACATCAATGTCAGATATAAATCTAGTAACATTTAAATGATGGTTTTAATTTTAATTCCAATTTTTATACCATAAGCCAAAAAAAAAAAGTATTCAACTTGAAAGAAAGATGAAAATAATGAATTGTACAGAGAATTTATCTGACAATATACATAGGATTAATAAAAGATAATGATAAATAACAAACAAATGCAAAAATATTTCCAACTGCTTAAAAACAATTCTTTTTACTCAAGACAACCTCAGAGTGCTTCAAAAGATAGTCCTATCAAAAGCTATCACATGAAAGTTATATTAATATAAAGTATAAAAGATAAATAAAAAGTACAAATTAAAAGGACAAAAAATTTACATTTATTTTCACTAGTAATAATTTTTAATCCAATATCAGGTCAGGCCCAAAATTTGATATAGATAAATTGAATTATATTTTGATTACTTCAAAAAATGTCTAAATGATAACAAGACATGTATTAAAATGGATTCATAAAGTTCTAAATGAGTAAGTTACATCACCACAGAACAATTGAACTTAATTACTATCTTGAACCTCTTAAAGTTGACCATATCCACAGAGCACATGTAATGTTTCTCAAGAAAAAGGCAATGCTGCAGAAGCAATCAAAAATATTGACAGTGTTCAAAGATTTTTTAAATGAAAGAAATTGTCAAAGATGGTCAAGAAAATTCTGAAAAGGTGATTTCAGTTAAAGAGATGTATCCCAAACAGGTTGCCCTGTTGAGTTTAGCAATGACCAATTTTGTCTCAATATAAGTAATACAGTTCTGGTTGAATAACTAAAAAATTATTTCATGTTATTCAACTTGAAATGTACCTAAACTTAGAAAATGGATTGCCTATAATTTGACAGAAGACAACAGTAAAATACAAGTGGACATTTGCATTTCTTTGTATTCTGCCTTTTTTAACAGATTAGTAACAAAAAAAAAAAGAAGATATGAAGAAGAATATGAAATAATGAAACAATGGCTTGGGCAAAGAAGCTAAAATACAATATAAAGTGAACTTCTATCCAAGGAAGTTTTTGATAAGTGTCTGGTGGGAATATACTGGTGTGATCTAGTTGATACAATTACAGCAGACAATTATTGTTAATTATTAAAAGCTTTTAAATACTGCTTTCAAAGAAAAGTGGCTCATTTTGCTCATTCAAAGGTGTAGTATTCCCTGATGATAATATATGGCCACATACAGCAAAGATCATATCTGAAAAGATTGAAAATCACAGTCAGGAAAAAAAAACATCCAAACCTTCCTTTATTGTCTTTTCTATATCTTGTTCCATCTATTTGCTAACTATTCTGGAATTTACAGAAACAACTTGATGGACGAGTTCTTAAAACACATCAAGTAGTGGAAACATTCTTTTCCTCCAAACTAAATGATTTGAAAAAAAAAATATGGATGAAACTTATGAAATACTGGAAGGAGGTTATTGACAATGATGTTAATGAATAAGTTAATTGAACACAAAGTTTTATATGTTTTTCTGACCATAAATTCTAATGTCACTTATGGGATGACATCATAAATCAATTAAATATTTCAAGTACTTTATGTCGATGATTCATTTACTATCTCAGACCCATTATATTTATAAGGCCAAATAATTACAAATGTAAATCACGGGATTTAGGACTTATACAAAAAAAAAATGAAAAAAAAAAATCACAACTTTTCAGGTAAATAGGAGTAAGGGTCAACTGGATGTTACCTTTTCTTTTTTGATCATTTAATGAAAAATTCAAATCATTTGATTTTATACAAGTTTCTCACTTCCTACATATTAAAAGGCTGCTCTAGCTATTTTCAATGTGTTTTCAAAAAGAAAAAACACAGCAAATGAAAAAAACAAAAAAACAAACAGCTATGCTTATTGCATGGTGTTGACTGATGTATGGAGCAAATCTTTTGGAATGTGATGAGTAAAATAGCACTTCCAAAAAGCTGGAAAACCTGGTTGATAGCTACTGGACAGATGTGCACAATAAACACCACAGGCAAACAGCAAGGCATAAAGGAGTGGGGATGAAGTAACTTTGTTTCAGCATATGTTAAATAGATCATGGCAGTAGAAGGTCATTAACAAACAAGGTAATGCAAATTTTCATAAAGTTTATAATAGACCAGAAAGGGAGAAAAGTTAAAATCCAAAATATTTCAGGAAATAGATGTTGATTTTGAAAATGATATTTTAGGGCAAAATATCAAGAACAAAAAAGCAAAGAGACAAAAGTTATTAAAAAATTTATAAATGGAATTGATTCTGATAATGCAAAGATCCAAATCAATCTAAATCTACAAATTAAATTTTTGTATATTTTAAAAAAACCCAGAAATGAAGGCCAAACAGAAAAATTGACATGGCAAAGTGAACTGTTGAAAACAGAAAGAAACTGGCTAATATTTATTAGCAATTTCATGCAGAACATAACTTTTCTCTTGAATAATAAAGAAAAAAGAATTTTCTAGCTTAAATGCAAAACTAAAAATAAAATTTTGAAAAGCTCTATGTTGACTTCAAGTAAGGGATGACCAGCACATTAAAAGTCATGGTACAGCCCAGTTACATCTAAAAAGAACCTGATGCAGAAAATCAAATTTTTATGATAATGTGTTCTCTTTTTATATATTATCAGTCCAAAAAGTAATTTTATCTTGCATATTTACAAGCTGCCCTACCCTTCACTTACCTTCATCAGCTGACAATTAGCTTTTCAACACATAATGAATATTTGCAACTTTGGAGGTCAGAATCAGTCTCCAGACCAAAAAAAAAAAAAAGGCTTGGCAAGCAATGAAAAATGTTTATATTGTTTAGGCAGAAACTCATTAAAAAAAAAAAAAAAAAGACAAAAATGCATTTGATGTGATGCCAGAAATACCTCGAATGTAAACTCTTATTAAGTTTCAAAGTAAATCAAATCTCATAATGGGGAAAAATATAGATAGAAATTGTTAATTTTCAGCAGATTTTGATGTCAGGTGCAATAGTCTGTTTGAAATAAAAAAAAATTACAATGTTCTGATAGACAAACAAGAAATAGTAAAGATAAAAAAACTACAGCAGCCAAAAGGAAAGTAAACAAGAGTTGGTCATCTTTACAATAATAACATATTGAAAAATTGATTCTTTATTTAAATTTTTTTTTTTTTTAAATCACAACTTAAGCAGACCAAAAGTAAAGTATTGAACATAGTTTAAATAGTGGAAAATATTTTGAGCAAATATTTGTATTTCCATGTGTCAAATCTGATAATGAAAAACATCTTTCTTTTCCTCATTTGGCTGACTTATTTTTTCCAAAGAATAATTGATTAATAAATATCCATATACAAAATAAATAGAAAATATAAAATTTAACCACTAGTTAATGTCTATACTACTTGTAGTAATATCATGTTATAATATAGAGGTTTTTTTCTTTTTTTTTTTATTGTTCACAAAATGCATTACAAACATTTGTTAGTTGTTTCAAGATATAATGTTACTGAAGAAGATTGTTGCAAGGAAAGGAGAAGTATGGATTAAGAAATGTACAATGATGAGTAGGTTTGATATTGGTCAACTCTGAGACTAAGATTGTAGTTGTTAGAGAAGCATCCTCAAGGAAGGTTTCATCTGAGACAGAAGCTGTCTGATCAAAAAAAAATGAAGGGAATGGGGATGATTCGCCTCTGTGAACATGGCATGGTGGATCATAGCTGTGTTAAACAAAGGAAAGTAACTCATCTGAATATTTACCATAGTAATAGAGTAGTGAGAGGCTAGCAAAGAAGTTTTTCACCTGTGGGATATATATATGCAAAATGGATAATAATTCCATATAAATGACCCCATAAAAATTCGGAAAGAAAGGCTGGACAGCATCATTCCAGATATCGCAGCAATACTCTATTCTTTGTTGATCCAACTCTTATAAAAGACAGAATGCCATTGGCAGCTTCAAAAGTCCAAATATTTTCTGGAATGTGGATGTATGTGGAATTGTATTCAACATTTTTGTCCAGGGATGGAAGTTGGATACCAGTCTTTTTCCATATTGTCATATTGAGCCCCTGATAAAAAAAATACACAAGACAAATTTAATTCATAACCTGTGTATAGTCTTGAAAACTATAAAAAATAAAACAACCATGTGATCAATCCCAAAATAATAAAATATCCTTGGATTTTTATATAATATTTCAAAAGAAATTTCTTTGATGATGTCAAATTATTACATTTTTGTTAATATTATAGATCTTTTATCTTTTTGAAAATAAAAAAGTTTTAAAATTATTTAAAATTCAATGAAAAACAGAATTTTTATTTATATATATGTTACATATATACATATTTTTTAATATAGATAAGAATAAAAATATATATTAAATATAGGCCAATATATTAAAAATTTTACTCATTTTTATATATAAACATATATATATATATAAATATTATTTAATTTTTCCTTTTCATCAATTTTGGACACTAATTAACACTATCAATCCAACAATTATTTTCGAGGATTTAAATTTTAAAAAAAATTTAGAAATATTTCATTCATCTGTTGAATCAAATTTTTTTCTTTTAGTTATTCAACCATCTGTAGATTATAAATAAAACAAATATATAAATATATGCAATGTTAAATTTTTACCTTTTTTAATTTAAATGCATTACTTAATAAATCATTAAACATAAGATCTGATCTTTTAAATATTAAAAAAAATAATTTTAAAATTTGACATTAGAAAAAGAATTGTTCAACCATCTTTTATTTAATACTATAGCAACAAATCATTTT